GTTATGACTACATCCTTCTTTCTCTCTTATTCTGACTTTACTTTTTCCCCAAGTGATTTGGAAAAAATGTTCTTTTTAGCCAGAAGTACAGTATGATCTGATTCCTTTAAGAGAACATTTGAACATTGAACTAGGAGCTGGTCCACAGGCCATATATCTATGGCTAAAGATTGCCTACTCTTGATTGCCTACTCCAGGTATGTCCAACCCACGAGCCTGGAAAGCTAGTATGCGATTTATATACATTAACTATATCACAGGTAATCCTTGACCTATGACCACAATTGACCCCAAAATTTCCATTGCTAAGCAAGACAGTTGTTAAGTAAATTTTGCCCTATTTTACGATCTTTCTTGTCACAGTTGTTAAGCGAATCACTGCAGTTGTTAAGTTAGTAACACAGTTGTTAAGTGAATCTGGCTTCCCCATTGATTTTGCTTGTCAGAAGGTCATAAAAGGTGATCACATGACCCTGGTATAAAGCTATGGTCATAAATACATGGCAATTGCCAAGCGTCCGAATTTTAATTACTCGACCACAGGGGTGCTGCAGTGGTCGGAAGTGTGAAAAGCAATCATAAGTCTCTATTTTCAATGTCATTGTAACCTTGCACGGTCACCAAACAAATGGTTGTAAGTCAAGGTGTCATGGTTCCGACAGATGAAATTCTTCAAAGAACTTCGAGGCATTGTTTACCTTAAAGAATCTTTATTTGAGAAGCATAGCATCGGCACTAACATAGTCGAAGTCAAAAATTGAATTCCCCTCCCCTGAGCACATAGTATCAAAGCACAATTCCCTCCTCCAATTAACAGTCATAAATCACATTCTCCAATTAGTTTGAAATGCAGGCTTTCCCTCCAGTTCTCCAACCCGCCAATTCTTATCATCTCTTATTTCAATAACCTTGATTCACACACTAGGTCTAGTATTGTTATGTCTAGCTAAACTCTCATCCACGGATGTTTTGCTTTGACACAAGGACTACCTGAATATATATTTTACATATGTCCCAAGACAATTCCTCTTCACTCAGGGCAACCCAGGTAAACAAAAGTTTGGATCCCCCCCCAACGATCTACACAGTGTATGTGTAATTCTATGCTTTGGGGTGTTCTGTATGGTTTGCAGGGAGATTTTAACTCACTATGCATAAATTCAATCCATGATAACTACATGAATACATCAGTGCATTAATAGAGGTTTTACTTGGTTCAGCTTTTCCACAATCTTCTGCAGATGCTGCTGTTCATAGTGATGTATATCCATAAGGGATTTGCAAAATTTGCTTAGAATCGATTCCTTACAAAACTGAAATATTTAGATATTATCTTACGTTTTGGAAGTGTGAAGATTGATTGATTTCCCATTCTGTTCAGCATGACCTTTGATGGCAGAAATAGTTGCTGTAGTTGAAATGACTATATCATTTAAAATTGCGCTCTTTGCAACCCAGAAGTCTCACCTCCTTTGTGACTTGGTGAAAGGAGTTTTCATTGCATTAGCCTCCTGGCATTATTGTCATATAACTTTTCATATGTCTGGTATTAATTATCTAAAATTATTTTTAATTAGTTAATATGATGTTGACTGTTTCTTCTTCAAAAGCCCCAAGTGCCTTTTAAAGGCTCAGAAACTAATTACTGATGGATTACCATTTCCCCAGTCAATTTTATCCAAGCCATATGATGTTCGCCACCTACTGGTTACTGCCTGTCTCCTTGGATTACATCCCAATACAAAGTCATCCTTTTTAACCATTCCAAATAGCTGTATCTGGCCACGTGTTCCTGTGGCTCAGTCTGGTTAAATGAAAAACAATGAAAAAGGCATGTTTTTACCTGTCACAGGTGTGACATCTATATAATAGTAGGTATATAAAAACATGCGCGTATTCGAATGCAACATTGTGTCAAAATTTCAAAGCAATCGGTGAAGAACTTTCGGAGATTTAAGATTTTGAACAAACGAACATTTACATTTTTATTTATATAGATTGTAACGTGTATTTGGAAGGCTAGTCTCCATGTCAATACTACACATTGGCAACTTACACGTTATGGGTGTAGTGCATGCATGTAAGATTTCTAACTAAAGAGACACAAGGGCTTCTCCGGAAATAAAATAGCCCAGAAATTGGCTGGTCAGCATGATAATAATCTGTCAATTCAGATAAGAGCAATACTTTCGGATTAAAAGGGAAAGGCAGTTTGCAAATCAAAGTGAGTGATAGCAGCTGTATTTCCTAGTTTGGCTTCAGAAATATTCATATGATTTTATTCGGTTGTTGTTCTTAGAAGATGAATTTTTTATGAAAGTATGGATTTCTCTTTGGCGTGACCTGTATTACAAAATTATTTTTGCTCAATACAACTTCAGTTCCTTCAAATAATACTGGGAATTAAATTTTGGGTAGATTTGGAGCTAGTTAGTTTCCCCAGCATGATAGTCTCCTAAAAAGTGAGGCTACAGTTTCTACTATATCAGAGAGACTTGCCCGGCACATGTTTCTAAGTGTTTTCAAATTTTTCTGAGCATTTTAATCAACCATTTTAGAGCCACTATATATTTGTGGCTCATATTATTTTGGTTTATTTATTTTTGTTATTGTTATTTATATTGTCTTTTAAATAGATACTAGACAACCCGTGGGTCATTCTTTGGGTCATCCTTACCTGAGCAATTTCTAACCTTCCCTGCATGGTTCCCCATTGAACTCTCTCACTGAAAGCTTCACAGGAAGGAAGTTGCAAGTCCCAACCTGCTGCCTTGCTCCCACTGTCAGCTAAAGTTCCATGATTGCCATTGACTTCCTCCTTGCAAGCTCCCTAGGCTTCCCCAGTGACTTGTCAGAAGGCGTCAGGGAATGTTGTAAATGAGGATCACATGACCGCAGCAGCACAGAGGCGGTTCTAAACAGCAGTAGCACTGAAATGGCAAAAAATTTCCAAAATTTCATTCTCACTAGAGTAATGGTCCGGGCGTTCTTTAAGTTAACCCATTTGAAGTACCTTGGTTGAAAAAGTGTTGCCCTAATAGGCATCATTTCACCCTGTTAAAGGTACAGACAGGAGAGATTTAGTAGTATATAGATCTCTATCCCAGAGAGAACTCAGTTTTGTTGGATGCTTTAAATACATAATAACCAACATTATAGTCCAGGGTTTCTGGAAAGTGCCAGGTTGGGAAAGATCTTAGCAGTGCTAACAACTTGATTAAATCATTTGAAATCTATAAAATACAAGTGTTGCTTTACCAATCTTTGTTCAATGTCTGTTCTTGCTTGTTTGTCTTGTGATTTGGTGTGGTGTATGTGAAATGGGAGGGCTGTGAGAAGCATAGCAGAACTGTAAAGTAAAGATAATCTGTGAGAGAATTTGCTATTTTTATGCTCTACCGCCCTTTTTCATATTTAACAAGTTTCACAGATCATCGTTCTTTACGTAGACAATTCAAAAATAAACCCCACCCAAACATTTCTGTGTTTATATATTAAAATAAATCATCAGTTCCCCGATCCCCAGTATACATCTTTAAAATACATTCTTCAAATAGAAGACAATATCTATAGCTCAGGGTTGAACTATGGCATCCTTGGTGCTCTCTGAGCTTGGTGGTTTTCTGGCAGATATTTAGTTACCAAAAAGGTAACATAATGAGTGCCTGTACAGGTTGTTGTGGAAAAACCCAATGGAAAAGACAAGAGACAGCAACACAAAACAATAATTCTTACTTTAAGATTCAGAGGTTTGTTTTGCTAATGATTTGAAGCATATCAAGCATAATAACACAACATCATTTATATTAATAACCCATTGCAATGAGGACCATATGGCATAGCAGATTCCAAAAGGACAGCTATAGGCCAATGGCAAATCAATCAGGTCCAGTCCCAACCCTTTATACCCTTTCTCATTCTAAGACTGTAGTCAGATGGTCCGCTGACTTTTGCTGACTTCTGCTGACTTTTTACTGACCTCCTGCTGACCTTCTGCTGAACATAACTTTCCACATATATCTATGTACATTGGAACCCGCATCCATCAGCTACTTTCAGTTCCCTATTTCTTACTGTTCCAGTCCTTGTGTTCTAAATATATTTGAAACAAGCAAGCTTAGCAAAATCATATTAAATAAAATACAATTGCAAACTGCAAAATTAAGCACAGCACAGACTTTGGTTCAATACTTTGTCCATCAGGCCTGATTCAGTTTACCTGGGCCTAAACCTTGCATAAAAGAACAATAGCCAATATTTTCATTTTCCACAAGGTAGTCCTCAACTTATGACTGTTTAACGCTGGTCCGAAATTACGACAGTTATAACAGGACTCTTTATGGCTTGTAAAGCACTTCCAGCTCATAGTTGAACTATGGAGTTCAACTATGAGCTGGTGCAGATATTTAGTTAGTTTAGGTAACATCATGAGTGCTTCTACAGGTAGTCCTCAATTTTTGGCTGTTTATTTTTATGCTGGTTCAAAATTATGATAGTCTTGGAAAGGGTTCTTTGTAGCCCATAATGCACTTTCAGCTATTGCAAAGCATCCCATTCTTTCCTGCATTCACGTTATTATGCTCTCGAAGTTGGCAACCTTCCTGAGAAAGTCAGTGGAAATCTGGCAGGGAAGGTTGCAAGCTGCTACTGTCTGCCAATAGGATTCCTTTTTCAAATTCTTTGAGAGCAAAAAGGCTGCCTGTCAGAAGATTTCAGCTCTGCGGGGAGCTGAAATCCTTCAGCAGGCAGCTCCTTGGTCCATCTGCTTAAAGAACCTGGGAGATTGCTTAATGAATGTAATCAGGAATGCTGGGTTTGTGGTTCTTGAGCAATACAGTCACATAACTTCTCATTTAATGACCTTTCACTCAACAATCAAGATTCCAGTCCCAATTGCAGTCCTAAGCTGAGGACTACCTGTATTGTACTGAATTGCCAGTACTGTAAAATATACAATATTGTCACAAAGCTAAATTAGTTGGGTTTTTTTTTTCTTTTAGGGAAAACAAACGGTACCGAGTCTACGTGGTGATTCCCCTGCTGCCTGGTTTTGAAGGTGATATTTCAACAGGAGGAGGCAATGCTCTTCAGACCATTATGCATTTTAACTACAGGTAACTTTACAGGTCAAGCCTGGATCCTTTTATTTTCAGAAATGTAGTAAAGCATTTTAGTAGGGAATCTAATGGATGCTTGGCCCAGATTCAAAAAAACAAATAGAGAGGCTCCAGAGTAAAAGGAGCCCTTGGCCATAGAGCCATCTGCTGAAACAAAGTCTTAAGATGTAGATCTTCATTGCTGCCTAGATTTCATGATGAGCAGAACTTATTACTATTGTGCCTGCAATGTTAGGCTAAAGGAATAACAGAATATCAGAGTTGGAAGGGACCTTGGAGATCTTCTAGTCCAACCCCTTGCTCAAGCAGAAACCCTATATCATTTCAGACAAATGGTTGTCTAATCTCTTCTTAAAATCTTCCACTGTTGGAGCACCCAAAACTTCTGGAAGCAAGTAATTTCATTGATTCATTCCATGAGAAAATTTCTCTTTACCAATGAAAGTGAATATATGTGTCCCAGGATAATGTTGCAGGATCCAATCTCGGTCCTGAGGATCGGTTCCAGCACATCTGAAAGCTTGGAAAAGATTGGATCCTGGATACTGTAATTTCTCCTTAGTTCTAGGTTGGTTGTCTCCAGTGGTGGGATTCAAATATGTGAACAACCGGTTCTCTGTGTGGATGCCGCTTCCGGAAGTCCATTCTGGGCAACAAAAAATTAGCTATCGGTTCTGCTGAACTGGTGTGAACTGGCTGAATCCCACCACTGGTTGTCTCCTTGATTAGTTTCCATCCATTGTTCCTTGTCCTGCTTTCAGGTGCTTTGAAGAATAGCTTTACTCCCCTCCTCTTTGTGGCAGCCCCTCAAATATTAGAACACTGCTATCATGTCACCCCCTAGTCCTTTTCATTAAACCATTCTGCAACCATTCTTCATATATTTTAGCCTGCAGTCTCCTAATCATCTTTATTGCTCTTATCTGCACTCTTCCTAGATTCTCAACATCTTTTTTATATCATGGCAACCAAAACTGGATGCAATATTCCAAGCATGGTCTTACCAAGGCATTTCTTTTTATTCCTCTGTAATGTACCTTGGACTAGAACCAAGACACATCCAATACATAGGATCTGTAGACTGAAGTGTAGTTGAGATTTTCAAGAAGATTTTCTTCATCTTAGCCCTTTCTGCTAAAGAGAAAAGTTACTCTGTTGTTTGAAATGGGAGGTAGATCTTCTGGGAAAATAAACCTGCTACTGTGATATAAAAAAGCTTAGATAAAAATTGTTCCAGAGACTGTGATTTAAAGTTTCAATTTGTCAGATTCAAGGAACATCTAGGAAAAGCAAGCAAGAATCATTTGCCGAAGTAATCCTTTTTCTCCGAGATAGTGATAGACATTTTAGCCAAGAATCTGTGATTAGATCTGTAGAATTTATTTCATTTTTGTAACCTTTCTTCCAGTTTACTAGCTGGTAAAGTTATAGGAAATTCTACTTCTCTCGTGCTTGTGTTAAAGGGAAGGGTGTCTTTAAATTTTAAATTATAGATTGTGTTACATGTTTTATTTGTTTACGGTTTAGATACAGTAAATGTTGGCAGTTTCTAGATTCATAGTAGGGCCCTATCCTACTGAGTTTCCATTGGCAACATGGAAGGAAAAGGAAGGAGAAAGGAAGTAAAAAGTGATGTCAAAGTTAACATATATCCGATTCTCTGACTCTGGTTACATTCACATAAAATAGTTAGGTGAGGATCTAAAAGATTCATTTATGCAGCATGTTTAGTTTGGATAGCATTAACCTTAAGAAAAAATATTTGGCTTAGCATATTATGTTATGTTTACTGATGGTTCAGTTTATTGTATGAAGCTGTAAAATTGGATTAATGTAGTACTAAGGCTAAACATGTCCTGGATATGATGGCAGACTAAAATTGGGCCCTCTACCCAACCTTTAAATATTCAGAATAAGTAGAGAACATATGCTCATGAAGTATTTCTTGTAGTCAAATCATACACAGGTGTTATTCTCTGTGTGTCAAAACGAGGCTGTTATTGGGGTTCATTTGACTCGAAAACTGGCATTTTGAGCAGGCATTCAAAGAAAAAGGTCCCATCTTTAGGATTATCACAGTGATAATCCTAAAGATGATGAGGGGATAGATGGGGGGATAGATGGGGAACTCATCAAATTTGCAGACGACACCAAGCTGGCAGGAATAGCCAACACTCCAGAAGACAGGCTTAAGATACAGAAGGATCTGGACAAACTTGAACACTGGGCACTATCTAACAAAATGAAATTCAATGGTGAAAAAAGCAAGGTTCTACATTTAGGCAAGAAAAACCAAATGCACAAGTACAGCATAGGTGGCACCTTGCTCAATAGTAGTAACTGTGAGAGGGACCTCTGAGTCCTAGTGGACAATCACCTAAATATGAGCCAGCAGTGTGCTGCAACTGCCAAAAAGGCCAACACAGTGCTAGGCTGCATTAACAGAGGGATAGAATCAAGATCACGTGAAGTGTTAATACCACTTTACAATGCCTTGGTAAGGCCACACTTGGAATACTGCATCCAGTTTTGGTCACCGCGATGTAAAAAAGATGTTGAGACTTTAGAAAGAGTACAGAGAAGAGTAACAAAGATGATTAGGGGACTGGAAGCTAAAGCATATAAGGAACGGCTGCTGGAATTGGGTATGTCTAGTTTAATGAAGAGAAGGACGAGGGGGGACATGATAGCAGTGTTCCAATATCTCAGGGGCTGCCATAAAGAAGAGGGAGTCAAGCTATTTTCCAAAGCGCCTGGAGGCAGGACAAGAAGCAGTGGGTGAAAACTAATCAAGGAGAGAAGCAATCTAGAACTAAGGAGAAACTTCCTGACAGTTAGAACAATTAACCAGTGGAACAACCTGCCTCCAGAAGCGGTGAATGCTCCAACACTGGAAGTTTTTAAGAAGAGACTGGACAGCCATTTGTCCGAAATGGTATAGGGTTTCCTGCCTGAGCAGGGGGTTGGACTAGATGACCTTCAAGGTCCCTTCCAACTTTATTATTATTATTATTATTATTATTATTATTATTATTATTATTATTATTATTATTATTAGCAGCAGCAGCAGCAGCAGCAGCAGCAGCAGCAGCAGCAGCAGCAGCAGCAGCAGCAGCAGCAGTGAGAAGGAGTAGTTTCACATAAAGCAGCAATATAGTTGAAGCTAAATAGGTGTTGGTCTGAGTGATGCTTTCATAGAAAACTACTCAGGGACCCAGCTATGTCCCATCCAGTTGGGGAGGAAAGGTGATGGAGAGCTGGCAGGGAACTGTGCAGCTATGATGGACAACAATACCATTGGAAACAACACAAACATCTCAGGGACTTCACCAGTCCAAGCCCTGAAGTGGAAATTCAGTTTATAAAATAAGTGATGTAAACCACTATAAAACAATGTTTTATAATAAGTTTTTGAATCACTTTAAGCATCTTCAACCCCATTTCCTCTTGCCAGCAATCCAACAGGGTCAGTGTTAGACCTCAGAGCTGAACAAAGCTCATTTTATTATGTATTTCTGCTAAAGAGTCAGCAGAGGGAGCACTGAGTTTGGGGTTGTGCCTCGCCAAGAAAATCTAGAATGCCTTTTCTGCCTTTTTAATTCATCTTTCTTCTTTCCTTTTCCCATTGTGTATTGTGATTGTGGGTGGGGCAGCCTACCTCTTTGTTTTACAGATATCTACTTCAAAATAAATTAAGTGATACATAGGGGCATGTATATTTTTAATGCTGATTTTCAAAATGATTGAGGCAACTATATATGTCTAGTCTAGCAAAGAGAAGAACTGGGGTTGATATGAGAGCAGTCTTCCAATATTTGAGGGGCTATTACAGAAAAGAAGGGGTCAGCCTATTCTTGAAAGCACCCAAGGACAGGATAACAAGTAACAGGTGTAAAAAAAACATTAAAGAGAGACCAGCCTAGGACTAAAGAGATTTCCTGACAGTGGGAACAATGAATTAGTGAAACGGGTTGCTTTCAGAAGTTGTGGGAGGTTTTCAAAAAGACACTGGACAACTATTTGTCCAGAATGATATTAGGGTCTCCTGTTTGAGCAGGGGGTTGGACTAGAAGACCTCCAAAGTCCCTTCCAACCCTATTCCATGTTGTATGTTCTATGTCTTACATATTGGTATCGTTCAGTAGACCAAATCTGGTATAGGACATGCTTTAGTACTGCCCATTTACAATTGTGTTCAAAGAGGGTCTTTTGTGTCTACCTTGTTGCCTTGAAGAACTTCTAAGGTGGAAACATGCCAGGCTTGGAAAATCTGTACAGTGATTCCTATTTAGGGTGGCATACATATATTTATTTAGAAGCACAAGAAGCTCCCTTATTTTCCCAGTCCAGGCACCTATTTGTCCAGGTGTCCTATAGTCTTTTTTCCAAACTACTGTCCTGTTGACCATGATGGGAATTTTCCAAACTATGTTGCTGTTGACCATGATGGGAATTTTCCAGTTCTATATCTGGAAATCCACATATAGCCTGTGCTCATATTTAATTTTCCTCCATACAAATATGTCCAACAGTTCTGAGACACAGTCAGAAAGCTTTCTTCAAATAAGTTATTGAGGACAAGTCTTAAGTTCACTGTATGGTTGACAAGTCACAGGAGCTGTTGCATAAAAAGTAGCATTTTCATCAGGTTGATCTCAACTCCTGCTAATGTCATAGACCAGGGATCCCCAACCTGTGGGCCATGGCCCACTACCGGTCCCACAAAACCATCCCCTCTTTTTCCCTTCCCCCCCCATCCGGGCCTCCAATCCCAGAAAGGTTGGGGAACTCTGTCATAGACACAACCATATAGTTTTCTTGGCAAGAGAAATGGCTGACCTTGCTTTCTTCAAGGATATCTTATTGATTTCCCAGTTCAGCCTACTGCTCCGTTATTAGATGATGATCTCCCATTGCTTAGCTTTTCTAGATCAGCTGAAGTCAGCCAGGTATTGGACAACACTGTTGTTTTCTTTGCTTCCCCCCCCCCTGACTTTCAAAAGGAGCTCTGTAACCTGAATTCATATACAGTAGAACATAGCCTTAAGGCTTCAGATTTCAGGTTGCACAGAGAAGAGCCCGAGGCTTCAGACTGCTGACTTCCTTTAAGACTTAGAGAAAGCAAAAACATTTTCTTGGCCTTCTGCAACTTAAGGTTGTTCAATGTTTTCTGGACCTCATGATCTCTCTTCTCAGTGCAACTTTTGGAACTGCAGATAGATAGATAGATAGATCAGTGGTTCTCAACCTGTGGGTCGGGACCCCATTTGGGGTCGATCGACCATTTCATGGGGGTCGCCAAGCAAGGCTGTCCGCCATTTTTTTTGTCCATTTTTTCCCCCTTTTCCGGCAGGTGCCTTACCTCCCTTGGGCTGGGCCAGCTGGTGGTCGGCCTGCTCCGTCTCTGCCGCTTGCCAGCTACGCCTCGGCCGGTGCAGGGGGCGGAACCACGCATGCGCGGCGCTCCCGGGCAGGGAAAGTCCTCGACTTACGACCGGTTGGGTAGTCCTCGACTTACGACCGGTTTAGTCCTCGACTTACGACCGGTTTAGTCCTCGACTTACGACCGGTTGGGGTCGCGGCATTAAAAAGGTTGAGAACCACTGAGATAGATAGATAGATAGATAGATAGATAGATAGATAGATAGATAGATAGATAGACAGATGTTAGAGAGACAGACTGACAGACAGACAGACAGACAACAGAGAGAGAGAGAGAGAGAGAGAGAGAGAGAGAGAGAGAGAGAGAGATGTATCTGATGATTTCAGCTAAATACATTCTTATAAACTCATTCACATGTTGCTCTTTTGTAAATGTAATGGTGACTTTAATTTTTCCAGGACCATGTGCAGAGGAGAAAATTCAATCTTGGGACAGCTGAAAGCTGAAAGTAAGTCCTTTGCTTGGGTCTCTGTGTTCCCCTCAACATTGGGTCTTGAGTGCACCAACCAAACCTTGATTGATCTGCCATAAAGCACATAGTAGCTGGAATAATTTCAGGATTATGTAATTGCTAATGTAGGAGGCTTCAATTGTGTCAGGGAAATCTTCAAAAAATAATGAAAACAAACTAGCAAAACAACATCTGGGTGTCTGGGAAGAAAAAAAAGCCCTGCTATCTTATGCATCCCTTTGCATGTGATTTTAAATGAGCTGCTTCTCCTGATTTTACTTGATGTCATTCCAGCAAGCCAACTCCCTAGGCTCAGTCATAAGGATCTGGGGAGTTGAAATTTGGATTTATGCCAAAACTGCTAGGTAGTCATTTTTTCCCCCTTTGGTAGACATTAGCTGAATGACAGAATAAAAATGCCCATTTAGACGCATAAATCCACTTTTCAGATATAGATGTTTGCACCCATGTTACACGTTCTTTTTTCTACTGTAGTTATAGAATATAGGATTAGTGGGGTTGAATGTTATCTAATCTAACTATATTATAACTTGATGCAGAAAATCCAGAGTTGCTGTCCTGCCCTCCAACACATCTTCCATCAATCTGATGCTATGTCCCATAATTCTAACAATCATTGCTAGAGATCATGCTAGCCTGGAATTATAGTAATTAAGTATGATTTATCTGAAGTGACAGTAGGCAGGTCTCCCTAGGTAATTGGCTTAACGGGCTATTACTGTCAAGAAATGTATTCTTAACAATTAACCCAAACCCACATTTCTGTCATTTAAATACTGTAAAAAAAACAACAACCTGTAAAACTTCCTGTTTTCATTTCTTCTACTTTTTAAAGTCCTAAAGTTTTTCTGTTCTTTTTTTTCCTCTTCTATCTTTCATCCTCCATTTCTTAATGGTAACCCTTCAGTTGGAGATCAGTGGATTAATTACATTTCATTCTGTGGACTTCGCAACTATGCCGAGCTGGATGGGAAACTCATTACTGAACTGATCTATGTCCACAGCAAGCTGCTGGTTGCTGATGACAACACAGTCATTATAGGTAAGGGAGAAATGTGCTAAGTACCAGTGTTTGGGAGTTGACCATCCCTGCCATATATCTCTGCAGATTTCAAGGGGGCCATGGGGCCAATTCGGAGTTTCATTTAGAGCAGGGGTCTCCAACCTTGGCAACTTTAAGACTTGTGGACTTCAACTCCCAGAATTCCTCAGCCAGCACAGCTGGCTGGGGAATTTTGGGAGTTGAAGTCCACAAGTCTTAAAGTTGCCAAGGTTGAGGACCCCTGATTTAGAGGGCAGTTTGAATGACTCACTCTTTGAATCAGTCATTGAAATGGATGATTGATTTGTCAATTCAATCTTTCTCCAAATTGAATAGGTGATGCAGATCTGAACGTGGGTGTGTCACGTACCCCTAAACATAGAATTTAGGATTTATATCACTTGAATTCCACATCAGTAGATACCTCCTGCTGTTGCTATGCTGGTTCCAAGTTTGCCTATCATGTTTAAATCCCTACATAGCTCAGAGTCTGAATAACTTTAAGAGCATCATTCCTGCCCAGATTTGACCTGATATATGCATTTCTTGGGTTCCCCATCCTGTTAGAAATGAAGCATGGGGGGGGTGCATAATTTTTCAGTATCCTGTGTCTCTGGACACCCACCAAAGATGAGGAATGCCGTCCAGCTTCTGATTTTCAAAAAGGATTGGAGAATTCTGCAGAATATGGGCACCCATGATATTAAGGCTGTCTTATGTACAAGTAATTAGGTTTTGTTCAGTCACTAAGTCATGTCTGACTTTTCGCGACCCCATGGACCATAGCACACCAGGCCCCACTATCCTCTACTTTCTCCCTGAGTTTGCCCAAATTCATGTACGTTGTGTCAATGACACTATTTAATCATCTCATCCTCTGTCGTCCCCTTCTCCTTTTGCCTTCAATCTTTCCCAACATCACCCAGAGTCTTTTCCAATGAGTCCTCTCTTTTTAATAGGTGGCCAAAATATTTGAGCTTCAGTAGTTAAGTTAAACTAGTTACATTATTGCTTTCTTGGGATTTTTTTAAATTGTAAACCATCTTGGGGTTTTTTTTACAATAAGTAATTGCATAATTAAATTTAGGAAGCAGTCAGCCTAAGGTAGGTACATTAGAAGCACATTAGTTCAGGAGGAGGACATGAAGAAACAAAACAAAATTAATACCAAGCAACAATGGTTGTATTGGTCTACAAAGAGAAAAATCCAATAGCCATAGTTATACAATACATTTATCCAGAACAAACTGTATTCCCCAAAGTAGATTCTTCTGGCTTAAAGGCATAGGATAGCACATAAAAAAAAAAGAAAGCTGACATTTTAAAACAAAATGCCTAATAGGTGAAATATCTTCTTGTTTTACTGTATCTCTGGAGAAGAATAAATGCCTTCAACACTGAGCCAACCCTTACATACTTAAAACTGGCCCTGCATTTCCTGTGTTTCAACAGTTTTCAACTGAAATAGTCTTTCTGGCGGAGTTGTTGACACAATAATGTATAGATCTACTCTGCAGAAATCCTGTGGAATTACTGAAGAAATAAATCTTATTTTTTTCCTGATATGAACTGAGAATTATTTAGCCTTCTTTTGTAGGCTGGGATTTATAAAGTTGTTGGTATTTCTACACACACACACACACACAGGGACTTTTTTGTGACATTGCTATTCTAATTCAGTTCAATTGGTTTATTGATTAGTCCTTTGTCCATATCAAGTAGTTGTAAAAACAATAGGAAAGTAGGATATATTGATAATATATCATTGCCCTGCAGTTATGTTCTATTTGATCCACTCTCTTAATCTTTTTATATAAAAACAGAGCCCCCCCCCTAGCTGTGTACAAGTATGTTCCCTGCAATATGTGTAATAATTTATTCTTGATGTCCCAATAGTTCTTGGATTTTTAATGACTTAAGCAGGGCAAACAGTATATTATCAATATGTCCTCTTTTTCTTTGTATTGCTTTTATAGCTTTTCAATATGGTCAAATGATTAATAAAAAAAACAAATTGTCTTGGATATTACTTTACGTGGCTTTGACTCTTTTATACTAAGCAGTACCTTTGACATAAAGCCTGTCTTCATCAACCTTCAACTTCAATCTGCTATCTACACCTTTTTTTTCTTTCCTTTTTTTATGAAAGAGCAATGGATTGATTGATATGCACACATATGCACAGATTGACAAGAAGATCCAGCCTTCTCTCTCCCATCTGCCAGTAAAGGAAGATTTTAAACAGGCCCTAATGGGTACCCTAAATCCATAGCTGGGCTGAAAGCTAACTAAGCAAAAAAGATAGAAAATATTGTCCAGTATGTCTACTATTCTGAATTAAGGAAATGTGGTCCACAAGACATAAGAGATGCATCTGAGGCTGGCAAAAGACAGAATAGCATAGAGCAGGTCCTCCTCAATGCATAATAAGCAAACCCTTTCAGATTATTTTGGTATTTGAAGCAGAAAATGCCAGAAAAGGTTCACCTCTCCTGCCCTGATTCGTTGCAGTTAATTTGCTGTCTTTCCATGATTAAGATCCCTTTTCCTCCAGTATGCAAAGACTAGAAAATTCCTGTAAAGGAAAGAAAAGTGTTATCATTAGATTTGCACTGCAAAAAAAAAACCCCAATAAATTACTTTTTCTCAACAAAGAAAAAAGTAACAATTTGGTTTTGGGCCTCTTTCTTGAGCACCCTGCGTTTAGATCCAGTTAAGCAACGGAACAGTAGATTTTCTTGCACTTAATACAGTTGCTTACTCAAAATTTATTCATCTGATTATAGATGAGCTTTAGGTTCAAGGTGCCCAGAAGGATTCCATGACCTATGACGGGGTAGGCAATCTTGGCTCTTTTATGACTCGTGGACTTCAACTCCCAGAATTCCTGAGCCAGCATGGCTGGCTCAGGAATTCTGGGAGTTGAAGTCCACGAGTCATAAAAGAGCCAAGGTTGCCTACCCCTGACCTATGACAACAGGTGTGACATACAGAAGTTGGACTGCAACTCCCATTAACCAGAAATGTTGGTTACGATCAAAGTTCAGGAACAACTGAGGACCACAAATTTTTAATTCTTGCACTGTGGTATCTATACTACTTAGAGATCCAGCAGAACCCACCATAACATATTCCCCATCTAATTTTTACCATAATGCTATCATGGCCATTTTTGTCCCAGACTCCATACTAGACCAAAATTCATCAAATCCCAAATTTGAAAGCCATCACTGGTTCTAGAAATTTGCTCATAAAAGCTATATTTTTTTATTTATTTTTGTATAAAATGTATACAGTCCTCCAGATCAGCTATTAGTTACCTAACGAAATAAGACCTAACATTTTCTTACATTTATTTATTGTATTATTTTAGAGCTTTTTTTTTATTACCGTGGATCAAACTCGATGATTGGGTAGATTATGGTAGAGTTCGAAACATAGGACATTGGATCCAGTTAGGGTCCTCTGAGTTATTTTTAAAATAGTTATTTATTTATCCCTTGCATTTGCAACTTTGCCAATGCTGTGTCGTTACAGGCTCCGCAAACATCAATGACAGAAGCATGTTGGGGAAAAGAGACAGTGAAATGGCTGTCATTGTGGAGGATACCGACACGGTTGCTTCAGTGATGGATGGGGAAGACTACAAAGCAGGAAGATTTGCCCAATCTCTTCGCCTTCAATGTTTTAGGTACCACGGTTGACAAAACTGCTTCAAGAAAAGTAGGAATAAAGCCAATCTAAAAAGGATTTCCAGTCATTTGATTGCCTTAGAATCCACAGAATAGACAATCCTATGTTTTTCTATTCAGCCAGGTCTTCTATTTAGTTCAGTGGGGCCTATTCTCAGTTTAATGGTAAATGATTGCAGCTGTAGGTATATGTGTTAAGGTGCTTTTCCAAAAGGCAACTGGACTTGGGGGGGAGGGGTTCTTTCAAAAAGTTTCACTTCTTCCCCAAGAAGCTTCTTGAGTTCTGAACCTTTGGGACAACCATGACCTGAATGATTAAGCATCTCCATAGACATGTATTAAAGTGGTCCTCAGCTTGCAACCATTTGTTTAGCGACTGTTCGAGCTTTCAACAGAGCTGAAAAAAAGTAACTTACCACTAATCCTCACACTTATGACCATTGCAGCATCTCAATGGTCACTTGATCGAAATTTGGGGTTTGGCACTCAGCATATACTTATAATGATTGGACAAGATAGACTGTACAGTAGTCTGTCCTGATAAAGGGAGCCTTCTACCCATTAAACCATAACCTGGATTAATGGTTTAACCTTTCCTCTTTTCATTTTACAACATCTCATCATTTATTCAGCTTCAAAGTCATTTGCAGTAACCGTGCCTTCCTTCTCCCTATTTTGAGGGGGAGAGGTTTAATTGCCTTTATAATAATTGCCTGCTTGTTCAAAGTTCTTCCTTCAAAAAATTGTTCAGAATTAAAGCTGCCACTGTCAGTGTGGGAAATATAATTAACAGACCTTCTTAATTTACCCCTGCTGTCTAACTGGGCAGATAAGCAGCAGAGTAGCTGCCACAAAGTGAACACACATTGCAGACACTCTAAAATCCAGGCCTTTCCCACCACCTACCATGAATGTCAGTCAAGAAAGTCACAGGCATTTGCAGAAGGCAGGTTGGGAAAGCAAACATTGAAAGGTGCATTGCAACACATAACTCCACCTCATTTGTATTTACCTCATAGCACCATATGAGCTACAAAAGACCCGGTTTGGTCTAGTGCAGGGGTAGGCAACCTTGGCTAAAAGAGCCAAGGTTGCCTACCCCTGGTCTAGTGGTTAATATAATAAGCTTGCCTTCAGACGTTGTGGGTGCTCCATCACTGGAGATTTTTAAGAAGAGACTGGACAGTCACTTGTCTAAAAGGGTATAAGATCTCCTGCTTGAGCAGGGGGCTGGACTAATAATATCTACTCTACTCTACTCTACTCTACTCTACTCTACTCTACTCTACTCTACTCTACTCTACTCTACTCTACTCTATTATCAGGCTAGAAACCAAGAGACTGTGAGTTCTACTCCCCCCTTTACAGTGGTGGGATTCAAATATGTGAACAACCAGTTCTCTGTGTGAATGCCGCTTCTGGAAGTCCATTCTGGACCTGGGCAACAAAAAAATAGCTACTGGTTCTGCCGAAGTGGTGCGAACTGGCTGAATCCTAACACTGCCTCTTAAGCATGAAAGCTGGTTGGGTGACTTTGGGCCAATCACCAGAAGACTGTGAATTCTAGTCCCTCCTTAAATATGAAAGCCAGTTGGGTGACCTTGAGCCAGTCATTCCCTCTCAGCCCAACCCATCTCACAGGGATGGGAAATAGAAGGAGGAAGGAGTATTATGTATCTATGGAGATTCTCAGTCATCCAGATGATGATTGTCCCAAAGGTGCTGTTCAAAAGGTAACTGGACTTTCTTGGTTTTTTTCCCCCTTGAAAATGTTTCACTACTCATCAAAGAAGCTTCTTGGTTTGCTTTCTATTGGAAGAATGTTCTTATATTTTATGAGCACCCTGTGGGATTGTATTTCATCTTCCCAATTTCAAAATTGTTCACACTATTAACAACGTCTACCAGTTTAATTGTGTGCAATTTTCTTTTTCTTTTTTTTTCCTTTTCCCTTGTCCAATTCTTCAGGGTTGTTCTTGGCAGTTCAATAGATCTGAATGATATCCAGGACCCCATAAGTGACAAATTCTTTAAAGAAGTGTGGGTTACAACAGCAGCACGCAATGCCACTATTTTTGAGAAGGTGAAGTATGGAATTCTGTTTCACACTTGTTATTGAAAGGCATGCGTATTGAAGGCAAGCTGTACGCAAGGTATGGCTTGCCTTCAGAAGTTGTGGGTGCTCCATCATTGGAAGGTTTTAAGAGGAGACTGGACAGCCACTTATCTGGAACGGTATAGGGTCTCCTGCTTGAGAAGGGGGTTGGACTAGAAGATCTCCAACTCTGGCATTCATGAATAGGGCTGTCCAATTCTTAGAAGTCACCCAACCTTGCTTTAATTAATAAGTCCCTGACTTGTGTGTTTATGTGTCGGATTTGTCCCAACTTGGCCATTTATACAAGAAGAGCCTTTGACTGCATTTGTAGTGAAAGGAATACTTTTACTAAGGCAAGTGGTTACAAAGCATAAAAAGCCAGATTTGAAATTTACACGTGAAAGCTGCCAACTTACTTCCCCTCCCCTACTCGTTATTTCCCTAGTATCCAGTTAGATTCAAACATATTGTTTTGGTAATAGTTCTAATGCAGTGGTTCTCAACCTTTTTAATGCCGTGACCCCAACCGGTCGTAAGTCGAGGACTAAACCGGTCATAAGTCGAGGACTAAACCGGTCATAAGTCGAGGACTAAACCGGTCGTAAGTCGAGGACTACCCAACCGGTTGTAAGTCAAAGACTTTCCCTGGTTCCGTGGTTCCGCCCCCTGCGCCGGCCGAGGCGTAGCTGGCAAGCGGCAGAGACGGAGCAGGCCGACCACCAGCTGGCCCAGCCCAAGGGAGGTAAGGCACCCACCGGAAAAGGGGGAAAAAATGGCGGACAAAAAAAATGGCAGACAAAAAAATGGCGGACAAAAAAAATGGCGGACAGCCTTGCTTGGCGACCCCCGTGAAATGGTCGATCGACCCCAAATGGGGTCCCGACCCACAGGTTGAGAACCACTGTTCTAATGTTTGGTAGGCTCGGCAATAGTTCGCATTCCATTCCCAAGACTATGGCCTTGGGGTCAGTCATCCGATGTCTCTAGCAGCCACTTGGGGTGGTTTGTTTCTTTTCTTCCCCTCCCCACCTGAGAGCTCCTGCCCCCCAGGGTTCATGGCAGTCTGGCATCAGCAAAGCAGTGGAGAGACGAAGTAGGATGGCAGCACTGACACTGAACCATGGGGAGAGAGGGAAATATTAAGCTATGTATGTGCTCCTGCTCACCTCACACCAACTTTTGGAATCAAGTCCCAAAAGCATTTCACATCCATATAGAGAATGTCTTGATTTAGGGACCAGTGATGCGGTATTGCTATGAATGCCCACACAGCAACACTTGAAGGTGACTCCAGAACTTTAGAACTAAATATAACTTTAAAAAAAAAATCAACTGACTGAAAGTTTGCAAGATCACCCAATGTTACAAAATGCTTGTGTTCTCATGGGGTTTTAGTTTTAGTTTTCTTGTGTGACATGCCTCAGTTATGAAAGCCTTGACATTTGTGAAATTTGGCAATCTGCAAGATGGCTGGCCATTTTAAAACATGCTTGTTTACTTTTTTACAACCCAACACCTGTCCCAAAGGTGCTTTTTCAAAGGCAACTGGACTTTCTTAGTTTTTTTCTTGAAGACGTTTTGCTTCTCATCAGAACTAAAGACGTTTCTTGGATGAGAAGCAAAAATCTTCAAGGAAAAACAAAGAAAGTCCAGTTGCCTTTGAAAAAGCACCTTTGGGACAACCATGACCTGGATGACTGAGAATCTCCGTAGACAAACCCAACACCTGAAAACTTGCCTACCTTTATCCTAGGTATATAGTGAAGCAATTGGGTTATATCTGTAGCATGATCCCAAACTCCCTGATCAGAATAACAATCCTTAAGCCATAGATCCAAAGAAGCTCTCTCTCACCTATATACAGGTAGTTGTTGACTTACAACCATTTGTTTAATGCAGGGGTAGGCAACCTTGGCTCTTTTATGACTCGTGGACTTCAACTCCCAGAATTCCTGAGCCAGCATGGCTGGCTCAGGAATTCTGGGAGTTGAAGTCCACGAGTCATAAAAGAGCCAAGGTTGCCTACCCCTGGTTTAACGGCTGCTCAAAGGTACAACAGCACTGAAAAATGTGACTTATCACCGGTTTTCACACTTACAGCCACTGTAGCCTCCCCATAGTTGGGCGCATGTATTTATGACAGTTGTACTGACCTGGAGTCATGTGATCACCATTCATGACCTTCCCAGTTGGTTTCCAACAAGCAAAGTCAATGGGGGACACCAGATTTGTTTGACGGCTTAATGATTCGCTGAACAATTGCAGTGATTCGCTTAATAACTGGGTCAGAAAAAGTCATAACATGAGGCACAACTCACTTAACAACTGCCTTGCTTAGCAATGGAAATATTGGGCTCAATTATGGTCGTAAGTCAAGGATTACCTGTATATTTATAGCTGGCAGCTTTGCTTTCAAGTGCTTGTGAAAAACCAGTGATAATTTTCTTCTTAAGTGAAAGAGAGCTGGAGCGGTTTAAGGTCCTAACATCAACCAGAATGTAAATATAAACATTAACTTGACTTGTCTCCAAAAAAACTTGGGGGAGGGAAACCCCAGTGTGCTGGAGATTATGAAAATCCTTTGTTAAAGTTCTAAAATTCAATGAACAGAGGTAATATGACTAAGCAGTTGGGCAAGTTTCTAGTATAGACATGTCCTTAGAGAGAATCTGTTCTCACACCTTTTTCTTCACTCTTCCTCTTCTCAATTAGGTTTTCCGATGTCTACCTAGCGATGAAGTCAATAACTTAACTCACCTGCGGGATTTCATCAATAAACCAAAGCTTGCTTGCGAGAATCCCACTAAAGCAGCTGAAGAACTGAAGAAAATCCGTGGATTTCTAGTTCAGTTTCCCTTTCGCTTCCTGGATGAAGAGTATTTGCTTCCCTCTGTTGGAACAAAAGAATCCATAGTGCCCATGGAGACATGGACTTAAGGAGAAATCAGCTTGAATTTTTGTTTTTAAGTAAACAAAACACAGGTCTGGTTTGGCTTCTGGTTTCACAAGAACTTTTTGCCATAAGAAGGAAAAGCTGCACCAATCCAAAAGTGCCTTTTGATGGTAGGGTTTTAGAGAAAGTAACAGCCTAGCAGAGACAGTGTTTGAAATAGCAGATAATTGATAAGTTATGTTCTCAATGATAGCAGGGTCATCCAAGCAACCTGGAAAGAGGGAAGAGGGGAATGAAAGATACTTTCTCTAAATGTCTACAGTCATACTTCAAGACACTTTCCATATCCCATGCATGCTTACCCTACATGTATGGTTATCTCAAACAGAACCTACAAAGTCTTCGTTATAAGTAACTGGGATAAGATATCCGCTTATACTAGCCATCTTTTATTCTGTGCAAAAATGGATAATCGATTTTCCACAAGGATAACTAAGGTTACTGCATGTACAAATTATCTTTCCAGACAAAGTGAACTGCATCTACATTTCCACTTTAGAAGAAATCCACGTGTAACAGTGACAATGCCTTGACTCCTTTGTAGGCTCTTAGTGTTGTCTATGTCTTTGGAACTTGTTAGATAGAGTATTTCTTTATAATTCCTTTTTAAATTCTGCGAATAGTACAGCAACTACTGAGAAACACTGCACGATGCCACTTTGGGCTTAACTGTGATCTTTCCTTCTGGAGTAAGTTATAGAGGTTTTGCATAGAATTTTTTTTTCAGTGCTGAATTTAGCAGGAGAAATAATTTGTCCTGCCTGTGTCTTGTTGAAACAATAAGTGATGAAGGTGTACTGGTAAGTCACCAGATTTGTTTTGTGTCCTTGATGGCCGAAAAAAGTGTATTTATGTAATGATTTAGCAAAAATCTTTTTATTCTCTTCAAGAGGGACCAATTAGTTCTTCCCTTCCTGCTAAAAAACACATGGCCAAAGAATTTCTTGTATGCCTACCATTCAATGTTCCAACCTTTGAGGGGCTGCCACAATTATGCCACAATTATTTTCCAAAGCACCAGAAGGCAAGACAAGAAACAATGGATGGAAATTAATCAAGGAGAGAAGCAACCTAAGAACTAAGGAGAAATTTCCTAACAGTGAGAACTATTAACTAGTGGAACAGCTTGCCTTCAGAAATTGTGGGTGCTCCATCACTGGAAGCTTTTTAAAAAAAGACTGGACAGTTATTTGTCTGAAATGGTATAGGTTTTTCTGCTTAAGCAGGGGTTTGGATAGAAGACCTCCAAGGTCCCTTCCAATTCTGTTATTCTATTATTTTGTTTTTACTTTAAAATAATCTATGGTAGAGGCTACGGAACATTTTTAAGCACTGCAACAATGGGTCAAGGTTTATTGTTTTTTTTTCACAGATGCAAGGGTCTTACATTATAATTTAGGTGTGTTCCTGTCCCGAGACAGCAAGAATCTATGCCACTAATTTGGCAGTTGTGATTGGAAAGACTTTGAAAACTGCAAAAGAGAGGGATAGGAATCATATTCCCTTCATCTCCAACCAGCATGGCCAATCAAAATAAACAAAACTGAGCTAAATGACCAAACAGATATAAATTGTTGTCCTGTTTCCAAATTCCTGTTTCTAAATGTCGTAGAAAGTACATGAGAACATATGCTGTATTAAAAGGCTAGCAGTGTTTAAGTAAAGAGAGCTCCTCTCGGAGGGAGATGAGTGGCTTAGAAATAGGAAATATAAATAAATAAAAAGTAAATAAATTAGGCCTACTTACCAGAATTTGAGATAGGCAGGAAAACTGTAGTAAAATTTCATCCATTTTTTCCAGATCCTATCTTGCAAAAAGTTGTCTGAAGCCTTACACTGTGACGTAATAGCAAGACCATACAGTTATATATCCTGACTAATTTGGGGCCATGCATTAACTTATGGCATTATCTTCTTATGGTTACAGACTAATTTGGGGCCATGCATTAACTTATGGCATTATCTTCTTATGGTTAACAACTGCTTGAAGTTATGACTATGCTGAATGAGTGATGCTTACAACTGGTCCTTGAAAGGTCACCTGACTGCCATCTGGGCAATTGGCAACCATCTTGCGCTTTGCAACGGTTGCAGCATCCCACAATCATATGATTACCATTTCAATCTTCCCTGCCAGCAACCTCAATGGGGAAACTGGCAGGGAAGATTTAATTCTCCCAGGTAGGTAGTTCACAGTCTCCCCTCATTTAATAGCAGCCACCCCTGGCCTTGCTGCGCTCATGCTGTGCCTCATGAGCGATCTGCACATCCTCCCTTGCCCAGAAGCAGCTACCCCTGCGGAATTCGTACCATGTCTTGTTGACCACCCATACAACCTTCTCACCCAACAGCAGCCCCTTAGCTGCCTACTACTTGCAAACCACCTGGGACCATTTGCTTAGACCAGCGGTTCTCAACCTGTGGGTCGCGACCCCATTTGGGGTCGCACGACCATTTCACAGGGGTCGCCAAACAACGCCGTCCGCCATTTTTTTTTACCCTTTTCCTTAGCTGTGCTACTCCCTCTGCTTGGCGGCAGCCTGCATGCAGGAACTTTACCAAACATGTCCTGCAGGAGGCGTGTGAAGAGCGCAGGCGCAGAGCAAGGCCCCACCCTCCCCAGGGACTCATTTCAGATTTAGGCGGCAAAAGTTTTTCTCGCGCAGAGGAGAGAGGTAAAACAATTGCGGAACACTCGGGAATCCCTTGCAAGGCCCCAGGTACCTTGGTGCTTATTTCCTAATGCCTTCCCCCCCCCCGTTATCTG